GGTTTCCCCCCTCGGTCTATTAGCATTAAAGCATATGCTTTTGTCCAATCACCTTTCTACACAGCTGTCCATTCTTCACTGACCCTAAGCATAAAAATAGATGATTTTTCCTAGGTCTTGGAGTCTTCATTTCCGAAGGCTCCTGTGTCACATAAAACTTTGATTACGTAAATTTGTCATGCTTTTCTCCTGTCAATCTTTCTTTGTCAGTTTTTATTTCAGACCTAGCCAGGACCCCTAGGAGAGTTGAGGAAACTTTTCCTCCTCATGAGATTTATTTTGAGATTGAGAAGAAGATTAAATTACATAGATCATATACCAATATAATTAGACTGTTTTAATTACCAAAAACTAACGAAAACCAATGAATGTGGACCAGCTACCTAAAAGAGAGCCACTATCAGGTAGGTCAAAGAATTTCTTTAGGGCCAGCTCCTACACAGACAGTGGGGGAATATGGCTGGCTTTGGGGAAGTGGGGTCCTGGTTTTCATGACCCAGTTTGAAGAGGAGGAATTCTGGCTTCTTTTCAGAGTGGGAGTCTAATGGAGCCCCAAAGCCCCTGTTGTCCTTCAATGCATTATTATGGTAAAGTTCATGGGCCAGGGCTGCATACTTGACCCGACTTCCCTACTCCTTCCTCTCATTTCATGCCCTGCCCAACTTCCAAGGATGCTCTCAGACCAGCATAGTACTAGTGACCTGGAGCTGCCTTAGGTAAGGACTGTTGAACATACTTTTTCTTTGGACGCTTAAGATTCCCCATCCTGACCTCTGCAGAAAAATCAACTCTTTTAATAAACTTTGTTCTGGTATAAGTTACAGTGCTGTTTGCTGTGAATCAATGTTAATGAAACAATAATCTACATTACTTTAAGTAAGATGTTTGACTCAGTCAGACACTCACCCATTGCCTTCCATGTGGAGTGGCTGTAGAGATGAAGAACAAGAGTGTGGGAGTGTGAAGATGGCTGTTTTTACTAAGCTTTAGAGAAGTTAAGTAAATTCACCATCATAAGTGAATTTTACAAAATTTTACCATCATTTTACAAAATGTAAAATCTTCCTTTTTGTAATATGTCGATCTCAATAATAATCTCCCTTGGCCAAACCATTATTTGAGGTCTAACACAACTTACCTGGCTAATACCTTCATTTTTCAAGACTCAGCGGAGGCAAACATCCTCAAAGAAACCTTCCTTTATCTCCTCCTTGAGTTAGGTGGTCTCCCTCAGTGCTCACAGGCACGCTGGGCTTACCTCTGCAACACCACAAGTCACTGCTTTATGGAAAAAAAAAACAAAACAAAACCTGTTTATCCCTCCTTCTCACCAGATCATGAACTCTGGGTTAAAAAATCATGTCTTTTACCTGTCTCCTTAGCATCTAGAACAGTCCCTGACACATAGATAGATGTTCAATAACTATTTCTGAATGAATACCAATATTTTATTTTTATAAACAATGATAAAAATATTAAAGAGATAGTGGCTTAAAATTTTATAAATCAGAAAAATGACTCAGAGTGTAGACAAAGGTTAGATGACTCAAGCTGGAAAGTCATTAACTATTTTTAGCTCATTTTAGTAGCTGGGAGTCAACCTCTATCCTGGTGTTTAATTTCCAGGGTAGAGAAGACCAGAACAACTGAATAGACTCTAAAAGTGATTTAATCACTGATTTGTCACTTCATGCATCCCTGGTCACTATCATCAAAACTCATTTAAAATCCCTATGTTTGGTGTTCTATAGAGCAATTTTAATGGCAATGATTACAAATCAATGAGATCTTCAACATAACAGAAAACACACTGACCTGCCTGTACATGTGCCGGGAAACTATGAGTATTCTTTCTTTCAAGCAAAACTGTAAGAACCCATTAATGTTTATTAGTCTATACTTTGAGAGTAACTTGGGCATGGATGAAATATAACCTACTGGTTAGTTAATTGTTCATTCAATAAATCTTTTTTTGAGCTGTGAAATTTTTATAAAGCTCTTTCAAAGGAATTATGGGAGGTTTAATGAAATATCCACACTCAACTCTGACAGACTTTACCATCTATTTTAAGAAAGAAAGGGGGGAAAAAACCCACAAAACATGAAAACTATTCAAGAACAAAGGTAAACAAATACTACATTGTATCTTACAGACGAAGATTGTGTACATGTTCATAAACAGGGGAGATCTGTAACAGCCGAAGACCAGCGGAGGTGAGACACAAGCTGATGTTTCTTACTCCCTGCCATGCTTTCGAAACACACTGCCAGGCGGGCCTTGGAACAGGACTGTCAGTTTCTAGTCTCTGAAAACATGACTGCCTCATCAACCTACGAGTACAGCCTACAGGTCTGGATTAGAAAAAATATATATCGTCAATGCTTATTATTTGCAGATTCCAAATTTGTGAATTTGCCTTCTCACCAAAATTTATTTGTAGCATCAAAATCTATACTCCCAGCACTTTCACTTAATTCAGACACATGGACAGATCCCCTAAAAGACTCATTGGTTTCCAGCTGAGGTCAAACAAGGTGCTCTGCCTTCTTACTTAGCTGCCATACCACAAACAAATGCCCTCTTTCCGGCCTGCAATAGACCACTTATGTACTTTTCTTTTTTGGTGATTTTGCTATTTAAAATAGTCCCCAAGCATAGTGCCGAAGTCTAGTGTTCCTAGGTGCAAGATGGCTGTGATGTGCCTTAGAGAGAAAATATATATATTAAATAAGTTTAATAAACTTCATACTAGTACAAGTTACAGTACTGTTGGCTATGAGCTCAATGTTAATGAAGCAGCCATATACATTAAGTAAGGTCTTTAAATAAACACGTACATAAAACAAGGTTATGTATTGACAAAAATATTGGAACCAAGGTTTGCAGGAACCTAACTTTGCATGATAAAGGCCAGGCGCAGTGGCTCACACCTGTAATCCTAGCACTCTGGGAGGCCGAGGCGGGTGGATTGTTTGAGCTCAGGAGTTCCCGTCTCTACTAAAAAAAATAGAAGGAAAGTAGCTGGACAACTAAAAATATATATAGAAAAAATTAGCCGGGCATGGTGGCTCATGCCTGTAGTCCCAGCTACTCGGGAGGCTGAGGCAGAAGGATCGCTTGAGCCCAGGAGTTTGAGGTTGCTGTGAGCTAGGCTAACGCCATGGCACTCACTCTGGCCAGGGCAACAGAGTGAGACTCTGTCTCCAAAAAAAAAAAAAAAAAAAGAATGATAAGAAAGCAAAACAGCTTTATTGATGATACAGAGAAAGTTTGAGTGGTCTGGATAGAAGATCAGACCAATCACAACATTCCCTGAAGCCAAAGCCTAATCCAGAGCAAGGTCCTAACTATCCTTAATGCTATGAAGGCTGAGAGAGGTGAGGAAGCTGCAGAAGAAAAGTTGGAAGCCAGTAGAGGGTGGTTCATGAGATTTTAGGAAAGAAGCCATATTCATAACATAAAAGTACAAGGTGAAGTAGCAAATGCTGATGTAGAAACTGCAGCAAGTTATCCAAAAGATCTAGCTAAGATAATTGATGAAGGTGGCTATACTGCACAATAGATTTCCAATGTAGATGAAACAGCCTTATCTTGGAAGAAGATGCCATAAGGCGTCTTTCATAACTAGAGAGGAGAAGTCAATACCTGGCTTCAAAGCTTCAAAGGACCAGCTGATTCTTTTGTTAGGGGCTAATGCAGCTGGTGATTTTAAGTTAAAGCCAATGCTCATTTACCATTCTGAAAACCCTAAGACCCTGACGAATTATGGTAAATCTACTCTGCCTATACTCTACAAATAGAACAACAAAACCTGGATGATTGTACATCTGTTCACAGCATGGTTTATTGAATATTTAAGTTAACTTTTGAGACTTACTGCTCAGAAGTAAAGATTCCTTTCAAAATAGTACTGCTCATTGACAATGTACCTGGTCACCCAAGAGCTCTAATGGAGATGTACGAGAAGACTAACGTTGTTTTCATGCCTGCTAACACAGCATCCATTCTGCAGCCTATGGATCAAGGAGTAATTTTGACCTTCGAGTCTCATTATTTAGGAAATATATTTCATAAGGCTATAACATCCTCTGATGGATCTGGGCAAAGTAATTGGAAACTTCTGGAAAGTAGTCACCATTGGAGATGCCATTAAGAATATTCTTAATGATTCATGTGGGGAGGTCAAAATATCAACATTAACAGGTGTTTAGAAGAAGTTGATTCCAACCCTCATGATGACTTGGAGGAGTTCGAGACTTCAGTGGAGGACGTAACTATAGATGTGGTGGAAATAGCAAGAGAACTGGAATTAGAAGTGGAGACTGAAGATGTAACTGAATTGCTGCGATTGCATGATCAAACTTGATCAGATGAGGAGTTGCTTCTTGTGGATGAACAAGAAAGTAGTTTCTTGAGATGGAAGCTTCTCCTGGGGAAGATGCTGTGAACGTTGTTGAAGTGACAACAAAGGACTTATAATATTACATAAACTTAATTGATAAAGTAGTGGCAAAGCTTGATAAAATAAGTTCCAATTTTAAAAGAAGTTCTACTGTGGATGAAATGGTATCAAATAGCATCGCACATCACAGAGAAATCTTGCCTGAAAGGAAGAGCCAGCTGCACCCCAACTTTCACCAACCGCCATCCTGATCAATCAGTAGCCATCAACATTCAGCCAAGACCTTCCACCGGCAAAAAGATTACTACTCCTTAGCAATTTATAGCAAAAAAAGCATTTTTGATTAAAGCATGCACATTTGCACCTTTTTTAGACATAACGCTATTGCACACTTAATAGACTACAGTATAGTGTAAACGTAACTTTTGTATATTTACTGGGAAACTAAAAATTCGTGCGACTCGCTTTATTGCAGTGATCTGAAACGAACCCGCAATATCTCCGAGGCGTGCTTGTGCAGCGCCTGGAGGGGATGCCTTCCGCCTGCTGCGCAGAGCGGCCGGCAGGTGGCGCCCAGCGGCGAGCTCTTTCCAGCTCGGTTTGGGCCAGGTGGACTGGAAGGGGCGGAGGTAACCAGAAGAGGCCAGTGGTGGCCGCCTGCGGTCCCCCACCCCCTCCACGCAGCGCTCGCGACACGCGTGCCGGGAGGGGGAGCGAGCGGCGGGGCCAGCTGCGTTCCGAGCCTGGGCACCGCTGCCATCTGCTGTGCGAAGCACCGGGGCGTCCCCGCCGCGCTCAGTTCGAAGTCGGCCACCATGGAGGCGCAGGCACAAGGTGAGTGGTCGCCGATGGCCCCAAGGGTCGGGTCCGGGGCCGCGCATAACGGCGATTTTCCCGCATCACCTAACTTTGCTGTCGGACCGAAGGGACTGGTGCCATCCTACGCGTCAGGAACTCCACTCCTACCCGCTCCTTCAGGATAATGCCCGCTCCCCGAACTCAGGATCTGCTGTGGGTCTGGGGGTCAGTAAGTGGAGAGGTCCCTTCGCAGAAGATGCGCCCACGGAACGCTCTAGCCCTTTCCGCCGCGTCGCCGCACACCTCCCAGCCTCGCGGGTGCGCGAAGGACCTGTTGTGCCGGGTCCGGAATCCGCATTTCGTTCCCTTTTCCTTGGGGAGTGGGGAGGAAACGCGACTCCTTTCACCGGGGGCTGCGGACTTGCATCTTGAGGCTTCCAAGTTGAGCAGTGGGGGGAGGGGGACCGGCCGAGGTGGTGGCTCCGGAGATACCCGGGTCTCCCGGCTGCGCGAGGGGCTCCCCGCGCGGGGACCGGCCTTCCGCAGCGAGGCGAGCGTTCCCGGCCCCCGAGCCCCAGCAGATCTGCACGTGTGTCCGGGTTTCCCGCGATCGGGGGGCGACCGCTGCCTCCCCAGGCGCGCGGGGTCCCCGGCCGCCGCAGTGTGGCGGCCCCGTCCCTGCACCCCGCTCCTGGTGCCGCCCGCTCGAGGAGCCCGCGGCGGCTTCAGGAAGGGCGGTCTCGTATCTTGGGGAACACTAGGACCAGGGTTGGGGAATCCCAACGGAATCGTTCGAGAATGGGTGTAAACGGACTGTGGAAAGGGGCAGAGGTGGGCAGACGTGGAGCGAGTGACAGACAGGTAGGATGGAAATTGACTCAGGAATCCACCTTGGGAACAACGCCCAGAACGGATGGATCCCGGAGTTGGTCCTTTAAAGCAATCATCTCCACCTGTCTTCTGTACTGTAGGAAATTCTCTGATCGCTTTTAATATAAATAAAAGCCTGTTAAAAAAGGCAAAAAAAAAAAAAAAAAAAAAGAAGTTCATGACCCTATGTGCTCGCCCTCTAGGGGCAGAAGCGTCCTGAATGAGAACGGTTTGGCGAATGCACTGGCTTGGAGTCACCCAACAGATTTTCTGCCAGGATTACAAGTGAACAGCACGAACCATGCTCGTTCTTTCGTTCTGTCAGCCAAGATCCTGCCCATAAAGCTGCCGCTTCCAATATTTTTCCTCCATTATGTAAATAGGAAAGGAGAATTTAACCAAGGGTGGGGGTCAAATTCAAAAGCAGAGGTCAGGTTGGAGGCCTTCACACCTGAACTGAAGCAGGTGGGAACAACACTGGAGTTTCCCAACCTGTCTTGCAGATTGGAAATATTTGGAGTCTTAAATACTGGCCTTGGCCAATCCCATCCCAAACAAATTGGAATCGCTGGGGCCTGGGCATGGGTATATTTGAAAGCTTCTCTGGTGATTCTGTAATATTATTCAGTGAGGTAGGAAAAGAACTACAGCAGATAGGAAACGTTCATCCAAATTCTGAGGACCTCTGAAACTACAGATTGGAAACCACTGGTGCCACTGGTTTGCTTTACTGGTTTGCTTTACTTCCGAGATTACTTAACAAATATTGCAGTGCTTTCCTTTGCCAAGCGCTGTGCCAGGAAGAGCAAAAACAGACCTGATTTCTGCTTCATGAAATTTACAAGAGAGGAAGAGACAGACATTAATTTGATAGCTACTTGATAAATAAAATGTAAAATTGCTACTGTGTTAATGCCAGGAAGAGGGCCCCATAGGGCGGGGAGAGCCTGCAACACTAAAACCCTGGTATACGATAATCAAAAGAGCACAGATTGTTTATTGCATCCCTGTCCCTGTGCTTTGTGCGTTACATTTATTGACTCATTTCATGTGCACGGCAGTCTCATGAGGTCAGGAGGTAGCTACTGTTCTCGTTCCCATTCTACAGAGGGGAAATATGTGTGGTTTACAGCCAGATATGTAAGGAGTAGCAGAGTCGATGCTGAGAGTGCCCCATTCCCACTCAGAGCCTAGGACTTTTAGAGGAAAGATGGGAAACCCAAGTTCCTACCTACCTCTCCAGCTGTCCTTCGGCGCTCCTCCCTGTCGTGACTGGATGGGACCTTTGTGGGTGGGGAGGACCAGTAAAAAGGCAAATGAATATGACAAAAGTGAACAGATTTAAAAAAATTCTTAAGAAGAAAAATAAAAATAATTTGAATTGGATATGATGTGAAGGAGGCAGTCTCGAGGATGACCCCAGCTTCTTACTTGTACAACCAAATGGATGATGCTTACCTCTTAAATCCTCAGTTTCCCAGCATTTTCAGCTTTTCATTTTTAGACTTTATTTTATTTACATTTTTTGGTCATTTAAGTAGCAGAGATATTAAGTTCTTTAAGAATAAAATGTTTCACAAACTGTTTATAGTTTATATTAAAAACTTTTTTTCGGCCGGGCACGGTGGCTCACGCCTGTAATCCTAGCACTCTGGGAGGCCGAGATGGGCGGATTGTTTGAGCTCAGGAGTTCGACACCAGCCTGAGCAAGAGCGAGACCCCGTCTCTACTAAAATTAGAAAGAAATTAATTGGACAACTAAAAAAATATATATAGAAAAAATTAGCCGGGCATGGTGGCTCATGCCTGTAGTCCCAGCTACTCGGGAGGCTGAGGCAGGAGGATCGCTTGAGCCCAGGAGTTTGAGGTTGCTGTGAGCTAGGATGACGCCACGGCACTCTAGCCCGGGCAACACAGTGAGACACTGTCTCAAAAAAAAAAAAAAAAACGAAACTTTTTTCCTACTTGGCACACTTTTTTTTTCTGGCTAAATGAATGGTTGACTCTTAGATTCTAACTAAGACAGTCCTGTGATTTTCAAAGTGTAAGTTTCTACCTTCAGTGCAGTTTATTTTAGAATTATCTGGAGTGGAGATGGCTTATCTTTCTGCCTCTTAATCTAGAGACAAGCAAAGATGAGTAAGGTTAAGTAGGCAGGTGCTGATAAGATGTCCCCTTATTCCGTCCAGGAGACCACCCAGGTGCTATGGACATTATTTACACATACAGCTCAGTTAATGCCCCAACAGGTCCTAGAAACTTGCCCATAAGTGAAATTCTGCAGATATGTTCTTTGATTTTGTGAAAGAATAGATTACTTCCAGCAAAACAAGAAGACATTCTGGGGAGATGGTAGGAGGGAAAACACGAACTGGGATTCTGAGTGGAGTGAGTCAGTGAGGAGGGGCTGGAGGACAGTGTAGGGTGAGAAGGCCGCAGGAGGACAGCATTCCAGGTGCCTTCCACTGGTGCTGGAGAATTCCGCTTTAATACAATTGATATGTTAGAGAGGGAATTTGCTTGGGAATGTTGCATTTCCCAGAAACATATGGCAGTCCTTCAAAATAAAAACTTCCTGATCCTTTTAAGCCACCTTTCAATATTTCATTATTCTAAATGGAAATAACTTTGTTGTTTGTGCCTTTCCCAATGTTTTAATGTTAAAAGGAAAACTTTCTCTCCCTTTAACAGTCATATTTTTTCAAATTAGTAACTGTGTTAGTTTCTTGTGGCTGGTGTAACAAATTACCACAACCTTGGTGGCTTAAAACAATAGAAATTATTCTCTTATCCTTTGGAGGTTAGAAGTCCAAAATCATGGTCACTGGGCTGAAGTCAAGGTGTCGGCAGGGCTGCACCCTGGAGACTCTGAGAGATAATCTGTTTCTGCCTCTTCCGGTTTCTGGGGGCTGCCGACTTTCTTTGGCTACGTCGCCTCAATCTGTCTTCCTGGTTACATGGCTTTCTCTTCTGTCCGTGTCAAATCTCCCTCTGCCTCTCTCTCATAACGACACTTGTGATTTCATTTAAGGCCTACCTACGTAATCCAGGATAGTCTCCTTGTCTCAATACCTTTAATTTAATTATATCTGCAAAGACCCTTTTTCCATATAAGGTAACATTTAGAGGTTCCAGGAATTAGGACCTGATATCTTAGGAGACAATTATTCAGTTTACTATAATAACTGTTTTTTATATTCAGATATCCACTCAAGAGGATTCTCAGGAGTCCATGAATGACATAAAGTAATAAATATCAGATTAATCCTACGTCTTTCCACATTGCATTAAATGAAAATTCCATATATATCTTACATTATACTTTGCTCACAGGACATTTATATATTCTTATCTTGTTCCAGGAAGGACTTAGGGCAGTTTATACGGATATATAAAATACAGCAAGATAATGTAAATTAGAAATAGATGAAAGAAAATGAGGATAAGAAGAGAAAATGAAACAAAGGATGAAGCTCTAGAAAAATGCATACAATTATATCCTTTTTATTGATATTGCACGGAAAGCAAATTCTTGCGCTGCAAACAAAGTATGGTGTTTTGTTACAAAACTATAAAATACCCCTTCCTCCCCCTGCCAAATAGCAGCAGGTGTAGTCTTTTATACAGGCATATCTTGGCGACATCGTAGGTTCACTTCCAGGTTACCAGTTCAGTTCCAGAATAAACTGAATATCACAATAAAGTGAGGCATGCAAATTTTCTGGTTTTCCAGTAATTATAAACATATGTTTACACCGTGATGTAGTTTGTTAAGTGTGTCACAACATTATGTCTAGAAAATGTACTTATCTTGATTAAAAAATACTTTATTGATAAAAAATAATAATCATCTGTGAGTCATAATTGTTTTGCTGGTGGAGGCTTTTGCCTCGATGTTGCTGGCTGCTGACTGATCAGAGCGGTGGTTGCTGAAGGTTGGGGTAGTGGTGGCAATTTTTAAAAATAAGACAACAATGAAGTTTGCCTCATCAGTTGACTCTTCCTTTTATGAAAGATTTCTCTGTAGCATGTGATGCTGTTTGATACCATGTTATCCACAGTAGGACTTCTTTCAAAGTCATTCCTCTCAAACCCTGCCACTGCTTTATCAACTAAGTTTATGTAATATTCTAAATCCTTTGTTGTCATTTCAGTGATGTTCACAG